ACTGATGACTCAAACTTACTCGGTGTTTGAGCTTTATATCTAAGTGCGAGTGAATGATTGTTAATGCTCTGGCTCTATGCAGCAAGTCTTTCCGGTGGCAAAATGGAAGAGCTGGAAACATGTTCTGATGACGATAGTGGTTTCATTGGTAAACGTGTGAATCACATCAAAGGCTGGCTATTGTCGCATTCACAATACCTCAACTTCTTCACAATTCTGATTCTTGCTTCGGTACGTTTTAGATGATTCTTCTGAACAATTCAATGTATCTACCGATACAATTCCAGAAAACTTATGATTCGCTTATTACAATTGCATTCTGCCTTCCATTCAGGTTCCTAACCCATTATTCGACCTTGCTGGAATCATGTGTGGACAATTCGAGAAACCATTTTGGGAGTTTTTCCTTGCAACCTTAATTGGGAAGGCAATCATCAAGACACATATACAGGTTTGTGAGCATTTCCATAATACTTTTGTTATGTGGCACATTCGTTCTCACATCCCTCATGGCTGACCTCAAAAGTCTTGCGTTTCAATATTCTCTTGCAGACTGTTTTCATCATATGCGTCTGTAACAATCAGCTTCTTGACTGGGTAGAGAACGAGCTGATATATATTCTGAGCTTTGTGCCCGGTTTGGCTTCTGCATTGCCTGGGCTCACAGCGAAACTCCACTTAATGAAAGAGAAGTATTTGGTTGCTTCGCCTCCAGTAACTTCTGATATCAATGTAACATATTCTTGTTTCTCTTTACTCAGGCCATTACGGTTTCATATTGTTCTACATTTTGAGGTTTTGGGCGATTGTTTTGTTGGTTCAGGTCAAGAAATGGGATCTTTCGTTTGCATCGGTGTGGAACGGAGTCGTGTGGCTGATGCTTCTGAATTTCTTCTGCCAGATTGTGACTGCAACTGCACAGAGATACCTCAAGAAGCAACAACAACAAGAACTAGATGCCTTGACCAACAAATCCTCACCGGTCTCAAAGAAATCTAATTAGTCCAGAAACTTATTTTACCTTTTCTAACTTTGGTTTGTTTTTTTTCTTTCATAGAAACCATATGATTGTGTTTCTTCTCATTTAAGAACTAAAACATGTGTCTACATAGAAGAAAACAGAGAAAACAATTTTAGAGTTTAAAGAGATTATAACTATGGTTTCTAGATGTGATTTGTTTCGTGGTTTCCAAGTTTTTAGTTGATTCAAGGTCCAAAATCGAATTTCACTCCATTTCGTATAAAATATTTATCGAAATGTAATCTACAGTTAACCAATGAGATATACAATACAAAAAATGGTTTTTTTTTAGCTAAGTCATGTATAATAATGACTAAGAAAATTACTTCTAACATATGGTTTCGATTAAAAGACAAAATCAATATTTAGGAATTTACTACAAAAGTAACAAACGAAAGGGACAAATGAGAACTCATTACTGTAGAAACCGACAAAGAATAAAAGTCGAGAGTGTAACAAAAAAAATACTGTTCCTCTGTCTTTAAATTATTTTTCCCATGCGAAGGAAGAAGACACAAATCTCAACAGTTTAACAAAATATAAATATATAAAAATAAAAAAAGACTCCAAAAATTACGCAAGAAAAGGCCAATTTCATTAATATATTTTTAGAAAAATAAGTATAATTGGATAAAATTTATAGACAACATTCCAAATAGAAAATGCCTAACCCAAGTATACGTCATCTCACTTCAGAAATAGGGTTTTGTATAAACCTCGATGCAATGGCGACAATTGCTTGAAGACACATTACTCATATTTCTATGCATAGATTATGTGTTTCATAGTAAGATTAATACTATAGTTTTGCTCACAACAATAAACCATTATATTGTAATGCAACAATCTACATATAATGTTTTTAGCAAAAAAAAAAAAACAATCTACATATAATGATATAAACACAACCACTACACAACAGATATAAAGTCCACATTGACCTTTTAAATCATTTTTTTAGATATATAGATTTACTGAATTGACACGTATTCCAAACAAATATTGAAACTATCCCAATAAAGCAATGTCAAACCTATAACACTTATGTATGTGCCCTTTTTTGCTAGTGTTCAACTTAAAAATGTGATATTCATGAGCAATCACTTCAGAACAATGATTAAGGTAAATCATATTTTCTTCCTCTAATATATGAAAAAATGTGTTGAGGGTTAAGTAACTTTTTTGCAGCACAACGGGAAGATATATCTCTTTGTGACGGATATAGAATAACTACCCCACCAAAATGTGGTTTGAAAGAGGTTGGATGGCGTAAGTGGAAATAACATGTTTGTCTCGAACGAATTTAAGGAGTCTGCTCAAGTCGAGAATGAGGACAACTTCAAGCATACTACTGAAGTATATGATGACGAGGACGACTTGCTTGATGACTTTGCTATTAAGTGATCAGAAACCTTCAAGAGGTGAAACGTAACTAGGAAAAATTGAATCCAGAGGGTTATCCTTTCTCTGTTCTCGAGGCTGACAAGATGAAGCTTCAAAATATGTTAGCATATCTTTGATGCACTTACTGTGAAGGGACGCTTATTGATATGGTAGATGATGCGTCGTTGTTGGATGTGAGAGAAAATGACTCAAGTTTTGGGAAGACTCTGAAGTGATAAAAGAACAATTGGGAAAGTCGTGTGCACGTAGAAACTAATGTCTTACTCTCTCTAATCTCTCTTCACTTTAAGCACATAAATATCTAGACTTTTTTTGGTTTACATATTTGTGAAAGTGTTTGGCAAATTCCCGAATATTTCATGAACCTCACCTTTTCGGGATCTTTGATTGATCATATTCCCTTTGATGAACAAACGGCAACTTATGGTAGCTTTAACGCGTTTTAATGAGTTGCCTCTAGCTCTAAGACCGAGAAATCGTCCAACTGATGAAACATAGAGAAAAAAAGCATGTACATTTAAGAAATTGTAACCATTAAGTCTTTTGCAAATGATCATGAGCAAAACAATACATGAAAACCAGAGGTACTCACATTAGGATAGTTATCTACTGGAATATCCAAGTACAAAATCACATAGAGATGTGAAGATAATAAATAAACATTGAAACACCTTTTTAAAAAGTTATCACGATCGAAGAGTTAACGTAAAAACAAACCCGTTAAATTGGTGGTCTTTGAAAAGAATTACATGAAAAAATTAGACTTCATAGTTCATAGTGGCCAATGGCGCATTGACACCCCTAATTGTACATGATACGTGCATCCACTTTATAGTCTTTGAAAATCTTATTTGTTATACGTATCTCATATGAGTTATATACGATTCTTTTCACAACTCAAAAGTTAAAATGAC